ATAGACACAGAGAATAGACTGGTGGTTACCAGAGGGGAAGGGGGTAGGGGGAGGATGAAAGGGGTAAAAGGGTACATATGTACTGTGACAGATGGCAATTAGACTTTGGGTGGTGAACAGGATGTAGTCTTCACAGAAATCAAAATATAATGATGTACACCTAAAATTTATATAATGTTATAAACCAATGTGATCTCAATAAAAAAAACAAATATAAAATAAAAATAAAATAAAAGCACAAGGAAGAAAAGAAGGAAAACAAAGAAGTGTAAACTACAAAGGGGCTTATTTTTCTCAGGTAGAAACAAGTCCCAAGGGAGAGAGGACAAAGTTGGCTAGAGTGGCTCCGTAACACCACTGGGTTGCTTCTATCTTTTGCTCAAACCACCCACAGTATGTTTATTGATTGGTAGTTGCAAAACCATCGCTTTATCTCCAGCATCAGGTCTGCATTCCAAGAAGAAAGAAATGGTGAGGAGCAAGTCATTTGTATAATCTAAAGTGTAAACTTAAAAATCAAACAAACAAAAAACCCGTGGTTTCTACCTAGAAACTTATGCTTACATCTCAGTGGTCAGAATTATATCCCATAGCCATCCCTAGCTGCAAAGGAAGCTGGGAAATAGTTTGTAAAGTGGCAGACGTTGTTGCTTCAAAAAAACTGGGTTCTGGAAGTAAGAATAAATAGAAAAGATATTGTATTAACATTTAGCAGGGCTTCCCACAACTATTTTTTGCTACAGTCTTTTTCAACCATGACAAAATTATCTTACTTGGGAGCAGAGGAAGGGTAGTGATTACAACCAATAACAGAGATCTAAATTTCCAATTTCCAATACTGTGTAGGCCATGTTAGACAATTTAAGGTGAATGGATGACCTCAACAGGAGAAATCTGTGCGTGTGTGTGTATACATTATATATAAAAAGAACACACTTTTGGGGCTGGCCCGGTGGTGCAAGCGGTTAGGTGTGCATGCTCCGCTGCAGCAGCCCAGGGTTCGCCAGTTCGGATCCCAGGCATGCACTGGCGCGCCACTTGTCAGGCTATGCTGTGGCAGGCGTCCCATATAGAGCGGAGGAAGATGGGCATGGATGTTAGCTCAGGGCCAGTCTTCCTCAGCAAAAAGAGGAGGATTGGCAGATGCTAGCTAAGGGCCGATCTTCCTCACAAAAAAAGAGAAGTTTTTTCTGGAGCAACATCCTCTACTTTATATATATATATATATATATATTTATAAAGTTACAAGTGTTATACCATTTTAAATATTTTAGGAGGTCTTTAGGTAAGCCAAATAATAGTTAATTCAATAAGGTGTAAAACAAACTGCATTTGCTCCTGCTTTAACATCCAAATAACTTAATGTAAGGCAAACTGTCTATTAATTCTTTCCAAAACCAGATGTTTTACCAGGGCAAATTTATTTTCTTTTATATTTCATTAGGAGAATTCTCAATAACTTGCAGAAATTTTAGACCCATAGAATCTGAGTCTTGAGATTATTAGAGATATAATAACCTATTTTGTTGTGGCATTTTCTTATAATCCCACATAAAATTGGCAAGTTGCTGAGATCTTTGTTTACTTTCCTATCTTTCTACCATATCCATACATATTTAGCACTTTCTATGTCCTAGGCACTCACAAAAACCCACTGAAGTAGGTACTATTATCTCCATTTTGTATTTAAAAAAATCTGTAAATTCTAATTTGCGTGTCAGAAATGGAAAGGATTAAATACCACTATCTAAATCTTTAATTTTAACAATTTTATCTGGTAAAACAAGAGGTCTTTCATGGATACTATCCAACAGTCTAGCACTGAACAAAAAAAGTACTAGGGGATTGTATTATGAGATGGATGAGGCAGTACAGCATGGGGGTTGAGCATGGGCTGGATTTGAATCATGACTGCTACTTATTAGCTATATAATCTTAGGGAAATTACCTAATACATCTGTGCCTTAAGATCCCTATCTAAAAATGGGGATAATTGTACCTACTCATAAATTTGCTAGAACAAAACCAAATTGGTTACTATCACTAAAACCTTGGTAGCACTCTATTATCTATTGCTGAATAACAAATTAATCCAAAATGTAGTAGCTTAAAACAACAAAAATGTATTCTCTCACAGTTGTCGTGGGTCAGGACCCTGGAATCTGCTTAGCTGGATGATTCTGGTTTAAGGTCTCCCATGAGATTACATTCCAATTTCAACCAGGGCTGCATCATCTGAAGCCTTGATTAGGGTGGGTGAGTTCACTTTCAAGGCTCGAAGCTGGAAGTTGATATTGGCTGTCAGATGGAGTGCCTGTTTGCCTACATGTGTCGCTCATCTCCCAGGGCCTCTCTTCTCCATCTGTATTCACCAGAATAGCCTGTCTTCGTTACAGCAAGCAAGAGAGCACGCACGCAAGACTAAAATAGGTCTTTTTTACAATCCAATTTCAGAAGTGACATTCCAAGGACTAATGCCATATTCTGTTCATTAGCAGTGACTCATCAAATCTTGCCCAAATTTAAGGGAAGAGGATTACACAAGGAGCTGAATCCCAGGTTGGGATCATCAGAAGCCATGTTAGATGCTGCCTGTCTCAATGGGGCACTGTATATTTGTCAAATGAAATAAATATGGAAGTGTCACTGTATTTCCTCCTATATTTGAGTTCCTCAACAATGGTAGTTCAAATAACAATGAAGGAATCACAGGAACTAGCACTGGAGAGAGTCAAGACTACTATCTTTATTTAATCGTTCATTTGAAGACTACATTAAGGGCTCATTTGAAAAGACTATATTAATCAAATGAATTAAAAAAAATTATATTGAGTTTTTGTCCAAATAAGACAAACTTAATTAGAAAACTATAAAGTATTAACCATCAACCAAAGGATTACAGTAGTCTACTATGCAGGATTATTTACTATCTAGGTTAGTTTAGGTCTTGGCTCCATTATAGTCAGAAGCCATGAATTGCTATTCAGAATTCTGGAGATACTGTTCATATGATACAGGAACTGTTTCTTCTAAATCAGGGAAATAAGTAGAGAAGTATATAAGCAATCCCACAGACAGGATGTTGGGAACTAGGCAATAGATGCTGAGGTGATGTGCCCAATGTACACCAGTATAGTCCTGAATGGAAAATAAAGTACACAGTTTAAAAAACAAACTGCAAAGTAGGATTTATTTACATTAAAATGTGAATTACTTGTGTACACACAAATTTGAGGCACAGTCTGTTATGCACAATAACTATAATCTTCAGTACATGTTATACACAGTAGTATCTGTTGATAAGTCAGCGGTTTGAGTGGAAACACAGTACCACAACACTCCCGATACAAAATAAATTACCCATTCACATAATCTAATCGTACAAGACAGTTAATATTGTAAAAGTTAAACGCTTCAAAAAGCATTAGCTAGATGTACAACCAAAATGTAAGTTTGTTTTATGAAAAATGTCTTCAGATTATTATGCATAAACGATCCCTTTCAGGATGCATTTTTATCTTTTAAATAAATAAACTACATTAACTTGAAGACTATTTAGATATAGCCCCCTAAAATATGATTGAAGACAGACTTTATTTTTTTAAAGGTGTAACTATACTAGAGAATCTGCTAAACTACTGCCCCCAAATTCCAACACTGCCATTCTATTTTTCAGACACAAATTATTTAAATTCCAATTTTAGTGTATGAGATTAGCTGCCCTGTTTTGCAAACTGTTTCCTCTAAAAAGTGTCAACAGATTGTCCTGGACTATCTTATATATAAAATGCTTATCTAAAGCATTTTAGGTTAAAGCTCATACTGTATGTAGAGATTTTGATAAATTGAACACTTTTCTTTCAAAGACCTTCATGAAAAGATCTTTTTCAATTCTAAAATCTACTAAAGATTTATATAAAGTCCAAGAGAACACTTGAATATTTCTATAATGCAGTGAAGGATTCATCTTTGGCATTTCTCTGTTAGTTCTAAAATAAAGTATGTTAACAAACATTTTATATTTTTCTATCTACCTACTACAGACATTTTGTGTACACAAAAGTATTTGACTGAAATTGTTTTAACAGCAATTTCATTGCTAACAAGCATTTTTTTTAGATCTGCAAAAAATACTAACATACAGCTTTTTACTATAATAAGCTGAGATGTTTTGATGTCGCTGAAATGAGTTTGCTTAGTTGTCTTTTTCAGTGATTGGAAATTCAACACCCTTTCAAATTCAACAATGGATAAAGCAGACATCCTTTAACAAAAATGTTGACCAGAGTATAATTTTCGAATATTGATATGAACTATGCCTGTATTAAGGAAAAAGAAAGTGTATCTTCAAATAATATGGGCATCACAGAAACAGAACTGCGATCTTTTCTTTCTTGGTCCCCGCAGCTTTTCTAAAAGGAAACAAAACAAAATAGAACTGCTACAAATGCTGATTTGTGGAAATTCTTCCACACTGCCTCCTTCTACATTAGATTTCCACATTATTTCCAGTATTCACAAATTTTTTGCTCCCATCACACACTAACCTTAAGGCTGAAAATAGTCTAAATGTGACTATTTTAAAATGATAGTAGGAAACAATAATAAAGTTTTTATAATTGAGCAAATTTTCCTCATTCAAAATTAATATGGGGGAAAAAAATCTCAGTAAAACTGAGTCAAATATGATTTGATAGTTCAAATGCAAGCTATATTCTCCAGGGCTTACTGAAAATAAAACAAAGAAATATTGTAGCTAATTACTGCTAGTAATGTCTGCAAAGATTTTGGATAACAAAAAAGTGATAGTAGTGATGGCTTTATTGTGACATTAACACATTTTTAAAATGCAGTTAATAATTCCCTATTGTTTTCTAACCAGGCAGAATTATGGAAATCCAAGCAGAGAATGATGCACAGTAGATGCAGGAACTAACAAGTAAATTGGGTATTTCTACTATCTGGTATTGAAACATTTGAATAAATCAGTACCTATTTTAGAAAGAAAATAAATTGATCCAATAAATATATTTTAAAAACCTGGAGAATGCAGATTGCATGAATAGGACACAATAGGATACTGAATTTGTGAAAGTAAATTTGTTATATAATATGGCAGTTATTGAATAGTATATATGCAGCTTATATTAATAATACTGCTATCTCCCAGCCAATGTAAGTACCTGACATCAACACTGTCCTTCAAGTATACTTCATATAATAGTTACATGTGATAACCAAGTAAATAAAATACCAGCTCCTGCTAATACAATTTAGTAAGAACTGGGAATCCTATAATTGTCACTAGGCAATGTTTACAGAATTTTAAGTGCATATGGTTATCTACTTCCAGAATCCAGAAAATATAGCCACCCATGCTCTTACAAGGAAGTTTTACCTCAATTCTATCATTTTAGAAGTATTTGTTGGAATGGGAGCTCTCCAAAATCAAATAGGATCAATCTGGTCACATTGAATCCTAAAACAAAATGTTATGTAAAATTTTTATGTAACTAAATGCTGCCTTTTAGGTAAATTTGAGAGATATTTTAGAGACTTTCTTTATCGGAGGAGGTGGTCTGATAAAGAGGAAGAGAGCATTAGACAATCACAAATAAGAATGATTCCTCCAGAATTCAGTTGAAGTTGGTCTTTTGTAAATGCTTATTGGGAATCTCTAAAGCACTGACTTGGAGAGGCCAAGAGCCTCCATCAATCCCTGCTTGGATAGCCACTCCTGTCACCACTGCCAGGTCAGGGTCTACAGACGTGTTGGGATCCTTTCCAAAGAATTCTTGGATGACTTGGCGGATTCGAGGAATACGAGTAGAGCCCCCAACCAAAACCACCTCATCAATCTCAGTCTTTTCCAGGTGGCCTTCTTTTAATACTTGCTGAATGGGTACGAGTATTTTCTGGAAGAGATCTTCATTAAGGGAGTCAAAGAGCTTCCGTGATATTTCTGTTTCAAATAAAACTTGAGTTTCTCCACTTTTCTTTTCAGAAAGGCCAGCTCCAAACACACTGTTCATATGGTGGCCATCCACTGGGGAAAGTCTGTCCTTCGGCAGTTCAGTGTCACTACTCTGAGGTTCCTTCCTGTCCTTTCCCTCCACCGTTAGTAATACTGATAATTGAGCAGACTGATGAAGAGTCAGATTTAATTTGACCATTTCCACAGCTTGTCTTAATCTGTGAATTTCCTCTTTCCTAGAGGGTAGGAAGCCATATGTGTGATAGATCTGTTTATATAAGTACTGAAGCAATCTCTGATTGAAGTCCTGTCCTCCAAGTTTATTGTTTCCTAAGTTAAAAATAAAAAAGTTCACATTATATTTATGCGTATGTGTGTATACGTGTGTTTGTGTAGTATGTATATATACAGGTGATATTCTGGTAATAACAAATCTCTTGCTTAATGTATTATTAAGATTTTATTCATACAAAGACTGTTTAAAAATAACTGGGTTAAAATGATTTTAACTCAAATGTGTACCATTAAAAAACAGTGCATGGGGGCCAGCCCTGTGGCGTAGCGGTTAAGTGCGCGCGCACTCTGCTGCTGGCAGCCCAGGGTTCGGATCCCAGGCATGCACCGACGCACTGCTTGTCAGGCCATGCTGTGGCGGCGTCCCACATAAAGCGGAGGCAAATGGGCACAGATGTTAGCCGAAGGCCAGTCTTCCTCAGCCAAAAAAAAAAAAAAAAAAAAAGGAGGGTTGGCGTGGATGTTAGCTCAGGGCTGAGCTTCCTCACAAAAAAAAAAAACAAAAAAACAGTGCACATCTGGGTTAAAATTTTTAAATGATGTAAAAAGTATCTCTGGATATCAAATAATTTTTCAGAAAACAGAGATTGAGAGTACAGATTGGCTTTTAAGTAGTAATTTAAAAACATTAAATGTCATTATTTTTAACAGAAGAAAGTTCTTATAATTTAAAAGTACCAGTAGGCATTTTATCATTTTTTTTTAATCCTTTTGCTTGCATGATTAAGAGCTGAAAAGTAGGAAAAAAATTGAAAAGGAAAAGAGTAATGTAATATAAATCCCTAACACTGACTTTGGTTCTAAAGAGAGCCTAGTCAGGAGAAAGCAAAAGGCAGAAGTTAGACCACCTACAACTTACAGCTTCACTTTTCCAACAGGCTTAATTCTTTAAACTAAATTAAAAAAAAACCTTTCAAAGATTTAGAATGCAAAATCCAATCATTTCCTAGAGAATACTACTATTAGATTTTTCTAAAGATACCTATCTTATAAAACATAATGAAATAAACTGATCACTCAATTTTAAAGGAATTTTTCTTTCTTTCTGTTCTCTTCACCATGGCCATAGGAAGTCCTATTGGCTCAGTGAGCAACAACTCTAGCTGGCAGCTACAATGGGCAGTGCATTTATTTGACTTAAAGGATGCCCATTTTTTCTAGACTTCACTTTTTGCTGTAAATATACATAAACAGTGGCATAAAATTTACGTATACAAAGGACTACCAAAATTAAGCCAAAAAATACTGGAAAAAAATTTTTAAATAAATAATTAACACATCAGATATATTAAGAAAGCACTGCCTGAACCTCTTTAACTCTCTCTGTATTTTCCTTACCAGACATTGCTCGGGTTAGAAACATTCCTCCTTGTTTATTCAGCAATGACACATCTAGAGTTCCTCCGCCCAAATCTATCACCAAGACGTGAAAGACATCAGCCTTGTGGAGACCATAGGCCATAGCTGCCGCTGTGGGTTCATTTATTACCCTCAAGATCTTCAGTCCTGTAAGATTGGTTGGAGGGAAGAACAACTCATGAGAGGACACTATTAAAAAATTCCTTTCCACTCAACCTCACAACATGTAATAATGAACTCCACCAAGTAATAATGAGAATAGTCACAAACCCAATAAAAATAATGTAAAGGACAGAGGTTATTCTAAATGGATGTCATTAAAGATTATAATATAAAAAAATAAAGGCCCAGATTCAGTAGAACACATCACTCTATTCTTTATTAATTAATACTTAATTTTTTTTAAAAATCAGTCTCTTCTAATTTTCATATTTTACTTGGGAATATATGAGCAATAAAACTTAAATCATTATGTATTGTAACAAACTACTGTGGAAATGAGATAAGCTTACCATGCTCTTCTTTTAAATATGACTTTTTGATAAAAAGAAGAAACAAACAGAAAAGAAATAATAAAAGGAGAAATCTAGATGAGGTGCTTCAACAGCTACAACGATACTCTTAAGAAGTACTTAAAATACAAGACCCTCAAATGAAAATCTGAAATATATAGTAAATCTGAGGTAATATTAATGTTAAACAGCAAATGGGCAGGCAAAAGATCAGATTTCCTTGAGCAAAATGCCTGTTTTAAATTAACTGACACATATAACGAGTGGCCTGGAAAGTAAAATGGCTTTCTGTTTCAGGAGTCATAAAAATTATTCAAACTCTGAAGAATTTATTAAAAAGACCATAATACTCTTCCCCTTAGCTCTCTGACTTCATCATTCACTCTGTTCCAGCTACACCGTCCAACTTCCTATCTTCTTATATTCCAACAAATTCCCATTTTATGGCGGCTACACTGGCTGTTCTCTCTCCTGCAATATACTTCGTCTACATGCCTGCTTGGCTAACTACTTTGCTTCCTTCAAATCTGCTTAAATGTCACTTTCTCAGTGAGGTCTACCTGACCACACTCTTTAAAATCTGCAAGTCCCCCTACTCTCTGACCACCCAGAAGTCCGGTCCCCTTACCTCTTTTTTTCCATAGCATGTTACTTTCTGATATACATTGTGTCAAGGTTCTCAACTAGACACCATTTTGCCCCTGAGGGGACACGTGGCAATGTCTGGAGACATAAGATTGTCACCACTTGGTGGGGAGGGTGCTGCTAGCATCTAGTAAGTAGAGGTTAGGGATGCTGCAAAATATCCTATAATACACAGGACAGTCCCCCACAACAAAGAATTATCTGGCCCAAAATGTCAGTAAGGCTAAGGGTGAGAAACCCCACAATATACTTATCTTTAATGCTGATTTTCTGTTTTCCTCCAGTAGAATATAAGTTCCATGAGAACAAGGATTTATCTGTTTTGTTTATCGAGGCGCTCAATATTTGTTAAATGGTGTTAAATGAATTCTCCCCACCTCTTTTTTAAAGCATTATATTCACCTTAATATTAAAGAAAGTTTAGAAGAAAAAATTCCTCATTGCTAACATGAGTCCCTGTTCTCTTTCAGCCTGTCATGTGCCTATCTTGATTGGTTGTTGCTGTAATACACACATTTTATATTGTGCTATGGAGCTTTCTTAATTACTGTTTGTAAATCTATATCCATCTAATTTACCTACCATATAGCTTATTTATGTGCTTAGTCAGGTGGTTTGCAAAGTGATACACCTTACTACAGAAGATTTTCAACCTAAGAAAATTTTGAGAAAAATGCAAACTCAGGCAACGGTGATATTACCTGCTAAGTTAGCAGCTTCAATTGTTGAATTTCTCTGTTTTAGATCAAATTCTGCTGGTACAGAAATAACAGCATTGGCAACTGGCATTCCAAGATACTCCTCTGCCATTTGCTTCAATTTCAACAATAGTCTAGACCCAACATATTCTGGGGAAACGGTGATGGTCTCATTACTTGTCACAGAAAACTCAACCATTCCATTTTTGTTTAAAACCTGTGAATGAGATTTGAAAGACAAAGTGTAAAAGTGTGTGTGTTTATACACATACATATATACTTACACACATACATACATACTGAACTTATTCAATCAAAAATTACTTTTACCTTTACAAGGTCATAAAATTCATTTGTAATCGATCAAGTATATTTACTAAGATTAGTTACTCAAAGTCATACTTTAAAAATCTATAAAATGAATCCACACCATATAACAATAGAATAATAAAATTCATTACCAAGCATATAATTGGAACAGAGAAGATTCTCAATATATATCTGTTAAATGAATGAAAGGAAAAATGAAAGATGAAATATAAGAAGAACTGTTGCTAAATCATGTATGTGACTCAGGATCTTTTTTTTTTTTTAATTAACTTGTTTTCAAAAGTAATAGATAATTGAAAGAATGTTCTGGTACATACTAACAAGAATAATTTTAGTACTTCATTATATTCTTATCCAAGAATCAAATATCACTTACATTCCTGTTGGCATGAAAACATGCATTATGTATTAGCTTACTACCCCTGGTAATGTGGTTGCACATTTAAAAATCTAGATTAATTCTAAAACATACTATCCTAGATTCACCAATAGATTGTATTAACATCAATAGTCAAGAGAATTAGTCTGTTTTAAGAAATGATAAAAATTTTACCCCATTAGGTTTCAGTCAAGAAAACCTGACCTTCCTGAAAGTACTTCCCCTGTCTGGGGAAAACAAAAACATGCTACAGATAGTATTAAAATAAGGTCCAAAGACACCAGTACCATCAGAACCCACATCAAACAGAAACAACAAAAAGTTACATCACTTAGAAACGTAGGGAAAAAAAAAAACTTAAAATAACTCTTGGATCAATAAATAATGTACCCAAAGCTGTAATTTAGAGGAAATGTATAGCTTTATATGAATTTATCACTACATAAGAAAGAGCATAAATTAAAGAATCCTAAGAAAGAAGCTAAAAAATAACAAATAAAATAAACCAAAACAAAGAAATACATGGAGAAAAGTTTTTTTCTCCTTTGAAAATGGATAAAAAGTTTGAGAATTTTTATAGGTGGGTTATTCAATAAGCAGCACTGATACAACTATTTTAAAATCTATGCATTTAGAATCCCACTTCATAATTTACAAGAAAAACTCTACATGCAATAAAGATTTAAACTTTTAAAAGAAAACACTCAGCAAAACTCAGACCTATAAACACTCAAATAAAAGCATTAGGAAAAAAAATACAAGTGGATAGGATGGAAAAGGCCATTGTAAGTACAATAGGAGTCCAAAACCATTGTTAAAAAATTATCAAGAGCCTGGTGGCATAGTGGTTAAGTTCGGGCGCTCCACTTCGGCGGCCCGGGGTTCATGGTTTCAGATCCCAGGTGCAAACTGATGCACTGCTTATCAAGCCATGCTGTGGCAGCATCCCATATAAAGTAGAGGAAGATGGGCACAGATGTTAGCCCAGGGCCAGTCTTCCTCAGCAAAAAGAGGAGGATTGGCAACAGATGTTAGCTCAGGGCTAATCTTCCTCACAAAAAAAAAAAAAAATTATCAAGAGATGGGGCCAGCCCAGTTGCATAGTGGTTAAGTTTGTGTGTTCCGCTTCGGTGGCCCAGGGTTTGCAGGTTTGAATCCCAGGCGCTGACAGACGCAACGCTCATCAAGCCATGTGTGGTGGAGTCCCACATACAAAACAGAGGAAGATGGGCATGGATGTTAGCTCAGGGACAATCTTCCTCAGCAAAAAGAGGAGGATTGGCAACAGATGTTAGCTCAGAGCCAGTCTTCCTCACCAAAAAGAATTTTAAAAAGGTTATGAAGAGATGATTTCACCACATAAAAATTTAACACTCTTGACAGCTCAAAAAGAAAATTATATATAATCAGTAAAAAAGAAAAAAAAATAAAGGAAAAAATACTAAAAACATATCACAAAGGTATTCTTATAGTCCTTAAGGAAAAGATAAACATCTCAAAAGAAAATAGGACAAAGGACAAGAAAAGGATCACTAAAGAAAATAAAATTGCCAGTTAACAAATTTTTTAAAAATCTGAGCTCACTAGAAATCAAAAGAATGCAAATTAATACAAGATACTATTTTTCACTTACCTATTGGCAAAGACTGAAAAATAATAACTAGTGAAGACATAGGCACTCTAAAAAATAGTTAAGAGCACATAATCTTTTCAGTGCACAATCTGGTAAGATAAATCAAAAGCCTTAAAAACAAGCACATTTGACCTAACAATTCTACTTCTAGAATTCAGGTTTAGGAAATCATCAGACAAGTGTACAAAGATATATGTACAAGGATACTCACTGGAGCTCCAACATTAGTGGAAAACCAGGGAAAAAATAAAATGTACACTGATAGAGACTGGACAATTAAATAATGGAATAGTCATCGCATGAAACCATGAAAGATAATAATATGAACCTATTGACTAATGGTCCATGATATATTGTTGAGTTTCAAATAAGTCATAAAACAACATACTTAGTATGACTCTTTTCATGTATATAAATACATACACACTCACACGCACAGAGTTATCTATCCATCCATCCATCCATCGGTCTACACGGGGCTTCATTAGCCTTCTCGCTACAAGGAAAGAGCTAAGCAGCATTCTAAAGATGGAAGGGCAAGACCATGGTAAGGCCCTAAGTCCTCGATAGCACGGTGGAGTTCCTGAATGAACTCACACCGCACCCTGGCGCTGCTGTGCCATTGCTTGTTATGTAAGATAATATAACTTTCATGAAGATTCAGTCAGTTGAAACAGAATGTTTTGTAACTTGAAGCCAAAGCATTAATTGAAACAGTATGTTAAACTAAAATCAAAACAGATTCTAGCTTAACCACTTACCTTAAATGGGTATCTGCCAATTTCAGCCTCCAGCTCCTCTGGGGTAAAAATCTTGCCAATGAATCTTTTGGCATCATATATTGTGTTCTGAGGATTTGAATCTGCCAGCTCTAAGCTTTCATACCCCACATACACATCACTGTCAGTAAAGGACACCATGCTGGGTATGCTGTTATGCCCCTTTTCATCTGGAATGACCTTTACTTTCCCAGTGCCAGGAAAAAACACCCCAACTGAACAGTAGGTGGTGCCAAGGTCAATGCCAATCACTTTAGGGGTAGGCAATGGTAGATACTGTTGTGCCAAATAGCCAGCCAACAGGAGAGTCAAAACAGCTGATCCTGAAATACAAGCAAATTACAAGATATGTCTTATCAAACTAGTACAATATGCTCAAGTACTATAGCAAAGTCCCTTTAATACCACTCTTTGAAATAAGACTAAAAATACACTCTCAAAATATTTTCTTTTATAGTACCAATGACAACTCTTCTCTCACACAGCAAGCTTTTCATAATGTAACCTGGCTATAATACAATTAAAATGAAGTAACAACAAAAACAAAAAACCCGTGTAGTTGCATGTTTGTGTAGTTCACTTATGAGTGAAAAAGGGAATAAAAAGTAAAAATATTTCGATAATCGTGCTGATGCTGATAGGAAAAGCCATTCATCTGGAGCAAAATCTAGCTACAATCCAATTTCTTGATCAACTGATACTTAGATTTTATAGCCTTACGCATAGCTTTATCTACCAGTATTAAAAAGAAACTTGATTAAAATTCCCACAGCAAAAACTGTTATTGTAAGGCTAAAACTCTATCCTCTAATCTCCATTTTCCTTTCAAAAGGATGCAATGGATAAACTGGACAAAATGCTTTTGAAAATTGCTTAGACATTAAACAGCCACTTCATAACAGAACACAGTTAACTTTTTCTGTATTTAAATATGAATTAAGGTACTTCTTGCAGAGGTAATATTTAGGGAAGGAGAAACATAAAAGTGTGTAACCCTGATGATACCATACACAGAAGCTCCTTGAAGGCAGGTTTTGTTCACTGTTGTATCCCCTGTACCAGGAACGGTCCCTAACAAATAGCAGATGCTCGATAAATGTTAATTGATGAAAAAAAGAATATGAACAAATGCCATGCAGATTGTAAACATAACTGAAGAAAGACGCCACTCCAAATTTACAATCAATCTGCTGTCTGGTTTCAGGAGGCTGTGTTATATACCTGCGTCCCACTCAAGTTACATACGACCCAAAACGTCAATCTGTTTTAGTAATTGTTAGCTCATCCTCATCAACACCTAATTCAAAGAAATGAAATCCAGCGCCCATCGCACTTTCCTCTTGCTCCTACGAGCAAAATTTCAGAAGCATTTCATCCCCTTCTTGCCTGGGAAGCGTAATTCCTAACGCGGTTTGATGGAAGGCGCAATGGACTATATATTAAGGAGGCCTGGATATCTCAAAAGCCAGCATCCCGTTAGTCTACAGCTCCAGACGCAGCTGCGGCTCCTCCCCCTCCCCCCACAAAGGGATCCTGAAGATTCACGTTTCCGCAGCCTCCCAAAGACCCCAATTCAACCAACGATTCAAGATCGACGTTCTGTTGGAAAGAACCCTTCCCGAGGCCCGATGTCCCTGGGATGTACGCAAAGGGTCGCCGCGGGCCTACCTGGGCCTACTCGGGCCTGGGCCCGCCTAGAGGCGACCCCCAACCTGGCGCCCGGAACAGACAAAAACGGCCTCTAAGTCACCTTTCCGCGCCGTTCCCGCTGCGCCAACTAGATCCAGTAGCTGCGACAACCACCCCCGCCCATCCCGGCCTCCCCAAACCGCTCCGGGGCCCGCAACAACGACAGGGACCCCCAGTCACTGACCTAAGATCGTCATCTCTCCGGCCATCCCAGTCCCGCGGATGAGGCTTGGGATGACTGTACCAGACGTGGGGCACCGCCCCCACGCCGCCGACAGCCCCGCGGTCTCCTGGGAAATGTAGTCCTCTTGCTCTGATGCAGCCGGAGAAGCTACATCTCTGACCAGAGAAAGGACTTCACTGACCGTGAGGCCCCTGGCTGAGAGCCTCCATTCAACCGGGGCCAGTGACGACTAAGCCGCCCTCCCACGCACGGACTACCCAGCCAATTAGGCTGAGGTGGAGGAGAGTCAAGAAGAGGGCCTGGCGTTTATCATCAAACCTGAAGAGCCTGAAGCCAACTTGAGGTAAAAACAGTGTCTCTTTAGCAACGCCCCAGCGCTTTGTATTCTGGGAATTGTAGTTCCGCCCTGCCCCCGTTCGCCAGAGGGAGAGTGAGGTCCATTAGGTTATTCGTTTTCTTGGCGGTGTCGGTAAGCGGGCGCAAGGTCGAGCGTTTGTTCTTTCGTTCTTTCTACGTTTTAAAGCGTGCCCGTTTGCCTGGGTTGTAGATTCTAGATGGGCTGCCTCAAAGCGCCCCTCCCCCCAGCCTCCCTGGAAGAGCCCCCGCCGCAGTGCAGGCGCGGAGGGAGCCCGGGTCTGGTGTCCCTGAAGCTCCGATCAGAGCATCAGTCCTCTGCTTTTGTTTGAGGGTAAATGAAGTCAAGCAATTTTAAGTCACTGTGATTTTATCCAAGAGAGCGGGGAGGCATTTTCTCTGTTGCTAACGCAGAAGTAGGCCGTTAAAACAAAAACGAAAACAAAACGCCATAGCATTGTCCTAAGTGGTGGGAATCGCTTTCATGGACAAGTCCTGTAACAAGTATTGGCCATGTAGGACAGTGGTGAATTGTTTTTCAAGTTCTAGTCCATAATATACCCGATTTTTCTTGCTCTTTGGTCACTGGTAGTACTTAATGGCTACTTCTGAGAGAATTTTGTCCCTTATTGCTGTTCAAGTTCACCAGAACTATGATCCTGGAGAATTGAAATCTCTTTCCTCGCTTTAGGTATAAATCAAACAATTTCTGTTGACAGCAGGTCAGCCTGCTGGGGGAATAAACTGCCACTGGCTTTTTAGGCAATTTAAAAATATATACAGTAGTCTCCTCTTATCCACACTTTCAGTTACCTGGGTCACCTGGGGTCGGAAAATATTAAGTGGAAAATTCCAGAAATAAACAATTCATAAGTTTTAATTGTGTGCTGCTGCTGTTCTGAGGAGCATGATGAAATCTCCCACCTTCAGGTTCTGTCCTGCCCAAGACGTGAATTATCACTTTGTCTGGTGTATCCAGGCTGTATATCCCCTTGTTAGTCTGTCTCAGTCAGCAGATTGACTGTCGTGGTGTCACAGTGCTTGTGTTCAAGTAACCCTTATTTTACTTAATAATGGCCCTAAAGTGCAAGAGGAGGGATGCTGGCAATTCGGGTATGCCAAAGAGAAGTCATAAAGTGCTTCCTTTAAGTGAAAAGGTGAAAGTTCTTGACTTAAGGGAAGAGAAAAAGTCGTATGCTAAGGTCGCTATGATCTATAGTCAGTTTTATTGTAGTCTGTTGTTATAATTGTGCTCTTTTATTATTAGTTATTGTTACTCTCTTACTGTGCCTAATTTATAAATTAAACTTTATCACAGGTATGTATGTGTAGGGAAAAAACATAGTGTAGAGGGTCCAGTACTGGATCCAGGGTTGCAGGCATCCACTGGGGGTCTTGGAACGTGTCTCTCACGGGTAAGGGTGCACTACTATATGAAAATGTTGATGGTTATTGAGCTGAATTATAGTTAATGGGGATTCATTATAATGTTCTCTACACTTTTGTGTATTTTTTAAATCTTTTAATGTAGAGTATAAAAAGTGTTACGTGTGTCTACAATGAGTACTATTCAGTACAATTTCCTTATAAAGACTGCATAATTGAAGCACTCAATTCATGAATATTATTAGGTATAATTATCATTTTAACAAACACTTACTGAGCATAGTGGTAGCCACTATAAACAACCAGAAGGAGAGACAGAAGGTAAACACATAAATGTAATTTATTATGGTGTATACCGTAATTGCAGTATAAACAGAGGGCAGAAACTGAAGGCAGGGGTGCTCTCAGTACGGACAGAGGACAGGAAATAAAGATTGTATAACTTTAAATGAAGAGAAGGCTTAGTGGGAGAGAATATGTCTAAGCAGTATTTTGAAGAGTAAAAGGGACCCAGGAGTTGGGTTAGTGGGATAATATGAAGCATGGGCTGGAGGTGTTCCAGGAAGAGGGAACTGAATTACCAAGAGCATAGAAGCAGAAGACAATCTCATCGATTAGCACTGCTGGATCATGAAGCATAAGGTGGAGTGTGAGAGTCAGGACTAGAGATGTAAAGGCACTGGAGGGTTAGTCATTTGTTGCAGGCACTGGTCATTGCCATTCTCCCTACCACCCACCCCTTCTCCTTTCTAATAGGATCCTGATTTGTTCAAGAGGTTGGGAGAGATTATGTGATCTCAGACTGGAAGGCCCTTAACCTAGGGGAGGAATTAAAATGGAGCTAAACAGGTTATATTAGTTTTCTGTTCCTACCTTAACAAATTACCACAAATTTAGTGTCTTAAAACAACACAAATTTATTATTTTACAATTCTGTAGGTCACAAATCTGGTATGAGCCTCACTAGACTAAAGCAAGTCAGCAGGGTTGCATTCCTTTCTACAAGTTCTAGGAGAGAGTTGTTTCCCGTTCATTTGAGTTGCTGGCAGAATTCATTTTCTTATGACTGCAGGATCAGGGTCCCCGTTTTCTTGCTGGCTGTAAACTGAGGGCCATTCCAAGCTTCTAGAGGCCACGCATTCCTTAGCTCAGCAATTCCTCTGTCTCCAAAGCCAGGAACAGTGGGTCAGTTACTTCTCAGAAGGCATCTTTTTGCATCCCTAAGAGGTCATGTGATTAAATTGGACCCACCCGGACAATCCAAAGTAATCCCCCCCTTCTCAAACTCTGTAAGTTTAAAATTTTTTGCAAAGTCTTTTTGCCATGTAAGATAACACATTCACAAGTTCCAGGAATTAGATTGTGAACTTCTTTGGGAGGCTATTATTCTGTCTACCCCAAATCGCTCTGTGGCCCCCAGAGATTTACATCCGTCCACATGCAAAATACAACATCCCTCAAAGTCTCATCCTATTACAGCATCAATGCAAAGTCCAAAAAGCTCGTCTAAACCTCATCAGCTCAGAAGTCCTAAATATCATCGTCTAAATCATCTAAATTAGGTAGTGGCTGTTATCACCTCTCTCTTATTGTTTGGTTACAATCAGAGGAACAATGAAATACTTTGATAAGAATGCTGGTAAGACTATTTTAGTTTTTTCTGAGGATTATAGTAATGTTATAAAGAACAAAAACCATCAGAGTTGGGAAATAAGGATGAAGGCAAGAATATGGGAAGAAATGTAGATACACTCATTTCTTCATTTTTCTTAGCAGGGAGTTAATAGGTATTATATAAAACAGAGAATTTAAAAAATAGAAGCTTAAATATATCATTCAAGGTAATGAAGGCAACTTTCTGAAGGACCAAAAAATGATAAAACTTGTAGAAAAAGGAATAGGTTATAGAGAAGAATAAGTAGGATTAAATAAAAATATGTACATTATTTTTTCAGTTTTCCATAGAGAAGTGTTAATACCTATCACTTAAGTTTTTAAAATTTTATATAGCAAAGTATATCAACAAAGGAAGCAGTAAAACCAAAAAAATAGATGATAAATTTAGGATCAATTTTTATTATATCCATAAATATAAATGGAATAGACTAAAAACTGCCAGATTGTCCTTTTTTTATATAGTTGTAACTATTTATTAGAGGCTTTTAAGTGGGTAACTAAATGAAGTTCATAGCTGGGCATGAACTTAGAGGGCATCTGGACCTACCTGCTTATTTATAGAATGAAAAATAGAGGCCAGGAGAAGTCAAGAAAATTATGATCTCAATTAGTGTTCATTCTCTTAACAAGTTATGCCTCACTTCAATTTAGTGATTAGAGGTAATCTTTAAAAATAGTAGAGTGAAAAGTTGTCTAATTATATATCCCAATAATTCTCATTATTATTTCAGAAATGTGCTTCATTAGGAAAATCATGCCAAATAATAAAAATCTTACTACATATCAATGTAATTCAGGGGACTAATTGTCCTTGTTTAATCCATGCTTATTTTTCTTCCTTTATCTATATAAGAAAAGTTCATTGAATGGAAAATTGATCCAGTTCTCTGCCCAATCATTAAAAGAGTAAGTGTATTGAAATTACAACTTAGTTTGAATTACATTGTTAGATTCTATGAAACACTATAGTATTTAAACATAAAAGATTACTCCTATGTTAAAATTATGCCATAACGGGACAAATCTCATTTAATGAACCAGAGTATTTATAAATTTTTTGTCTTGTGCTAGGCTATTACGGTTCCATATATTTCTGTATTCTGGGGATTAAAAATTTATTACTTGAAGATTTTTCACATAAAGGTATCAGTAGGAAGAAAATTTGATTTGTAACTAAAACGCTTGTGCCAATGTGTTGTTTTTTCGAGGACACTTATTATTGTACTAAAGAACTTTTGAAGGATGAGTGTGTTTGTCCTTTATTTTTAAAAATAGCTTATATTCTGGATATTGTCCATAAGTTTCAAATGAATTTAAGTGGAAATATATATTACATAGGTCTCCAATAAAAAACAGATTGTTTTTAAAAATTCATTTATGATTAAAGCAAAACATAACAAAAACTTAAAGGCATATGAACACGTGAATACTTCTTATATGATCAAAAATATATATACCAAACAACAAACAGCACCAAACTTAGAATAATTACCAATAAAATTGAGAATGAGGTAAGAATACTCCTATATAACATTGTTCTGGATTAACAGCCAGTGCAAGAAAATAAGATAGAAGGTATAAATTTGGGGAAAGAATAGAGGCAAATTAATCATCATTTTTTAATTGTATGGTTATTGTCTTAGTTCAGGCTACTATA